GCGTATGGGCGTTCGAGGTGCTATGGCACAGTCCGGGCGGTGGCACAGACTTGCTGGGAGTCTGTCGGGGGGCAAAGGACTTATCGTTTCTGCTCGGAGGGTGCTCCCGAGGGTCCCGGGCTGTACGGCCCGGCGGGCGGGCGGGCAGCAGGACAGGCCACACCCCCGTGAGACAAAGCCCCTCCCCTTATCGCACAAGCCCCGCCCCTTGTGCACAAGCCCCGCCCCCGACGCTCACGAGCCCGTTCCGTGAGGTGCCCAAGCCCCGCCCCCAGCGAGCAACCCCCCGCCCCTCGTGCCCAAGCCCCGCCCCCAGCGCGCACGAGCCCGTCCGAGGGATGCTCGAGCCCCGCCCCCGGGGTTCCCAAGCCCCGCCCCCGGCGGCTCGCGCGGCGCGGCTCGGTAACGTCAGCGCCTCGCGCGCGTCGCGCTCGTGTCGTCAGCGGCCCTGAGGGCGGCGGGAGGGGCCGGGCGGGACCGGGACCGGACCGGGACGAGGGCCGGTACAAGGGCCAGGAACGGACCGCGCCGGGGCGGCCCCGCGGGCACCGGCAGCGATGGCGCCGCGGCTGCAGCTGGAGAAGGCGGCGTGGCGCTGGACCGAGACGGTGCCGCCCGAGGCGGTGGCGCAGGAGCACATCGAGGCGGCCTATCGCGTCCGGCTGGAGCCCTGCCAGCGCGGAGCCTGCCGGTACCGCCGCACGGCCCCCTCCGCACCGCCCTCGGGGGGCTGGGGCATCCCGCGGGCACCCAGCACCCGCCTCCGACCGACCCCGGGGTTTGGGGGCTCCCCAGGGCTGCGGGACCCTCCTCTGCCCATCTGCAGCGCTTGGGGCTCCCTCAGGCACCGAAAATCCCCTCTGCTCATCCTCGGCGTTTGGGGGCTCCCCCTGGCACCGAACCTCCACACCGCCCGCCCCTGGGGTTTTGGGGCTCTCCAGGACTGTGGGACTCCCTCCTGTGCCCGTCATCAGGGTTTGGGGCTCCCCTGGGCACCTAACACCCCCTTCTGCCCACCCCTGGGGTTTGGGGGCTCCCCCGGGCACTAAACCCCCCCTCTGCCTATCTTGGGGTTTTGGGGCTCTCCTACTCCCCCGGGCTGGGGAGCCCCTTGCTCCCTCCCCCCCTTAGGGGTCCCTCGGGGTTGGCCGTTCGGGGCCCCGCGGGGATTGGGGGGGGCCCCCCCCCGTGTTTACTTGGGGGGGGACACACCCTGTTCCCAGGGCTTGGGGGGCCCTCAGCCCTCCCTGTGCAGCTCCACGGATTTAGGGGATCCCTTGGATTGGGGGGAACCCCCTGTCCCTGCCTGGATATGGGACCCTCACCCTTGAGTTGTGGGGAACCCTTTTGTTCCCTAGCTCCCCAGATACAGGGAATCGTCCTGGGGTTGTGAGGGACCCCTCTAATTGTTTGGCTGGTCAGATGTGGGGGACCCCTGTCCCTGGCTCCTCAAATTCAGGGCACCACCCTGGCACTGGGGGGGACCCCTCGTTGCTTGGCCCTTCAGATAGAGGGGAACCCCCCTGATGGGGTCTTGGGTACCCCTCTCCTTGCTTGTTCCCCTCCAGGTATTGGGGAACACTGGGGTTGTAGGGAACCCCTATCCCTGCCTGGCTCCTCAGATATAGGGGACACCCCCAGAGACCCCTCCTTCTCCCTCCTCAGGTATAGGGGAACCCTGGGCATGTGGGGAACTCTGTAGGGTTGCCTGGCTGCTCATATATAGGGGACCCCCATGGGTTGTAGGGAACCCCTGTCCTTGCCCAGCTCCTGAGGTGTAGAGGACCACCCTCCAACTTGGGGTTATGGGGGACCCCTCTCCCTGCCTGGCCCCCCAGAAATAGGGACACGCCCCTGGGTTGTGGGGCCCCCTCTCCTTGCTTGTCCCTCCCCATGCACAGGGGACCCCCATGAGTTGTAGGGAACCCCTCTCCTTGGTCCTCAAATATCGGGGATCCCTCTCCCTGCCTGACTCTCCAGATAGAGGGGACCTTCCTCCTGGGCTGGGGGGGGATCCCCTGTGGTTGCTGGCTCCCTAGATGTAGGGGCACCCCCAAGGAGTTGTTGGGGACCCCTCTTCCACCCTGGCTCCTCAAATATTGGGGACCTCTCTCCCTGCCTGGCTTCTCAGATCTTGGGGATCCCTCTTGTTGCCTGACTTCCCAGATATAGGGGACCCACCCCCACATCCCATACTCTTCCTGGGTTCCCCCTTCCCCACCCTCTGACCTTCTCCATCCCCTTTTTTTGTCCCTAACCACCATTTTCGGGGGGTGGGGTGGGTGTGACCCATATCCCACCACATTCCCTCTGTTCATCCTTATGGGGTCCCCCCTTGCCCTGTCGCCTCCCCCTGCCCCCAGGGGACACGGGGGTGACACTTGGGGTCCATTCTCCCAGGAGGAACTGCCGGGGGAACCCCAACTGCCTGGTGGGCATCGGGGAGCACGTGTGGCTGGGCGAGATCGACGAGAACAGCTTCCACAACATCGACGACCCCAACTGCGAGCGCCGCAAGAAGGTACCCCCCAGACCCCCCAAAAACTCCCCCCCCGCCTTCCCCAGTGCCAGAGGACGAGGGGAGGTGACCCCTGACCCTTTGTGTCCCCTCCCAGAATGCCTTTGTGGGCCTGACCAACCTTGGGGCCACGTGCTACGTGAACACCTTCCTGCAGATGTGGTTTCTGAACCTGGAGCTGCGCCAGGCGCTGTACCTGTGTCCCAGCGCCTGCAGCGACGGCGTCCCCAAGGACACAGGTGGGTGGCACGTCCTCCTGGGAGAGGGGCAGTCCCTCCTTTCCTCTCAAAACTGGATGTTGGCTCTGGGATAAATTCATCAGGAGGATCTGTGGGTGAAGCATCAGATGATCGTCCTGTCGCCACGGCGTTGGTTTGGAGCCGTCACCTGGGTTTTGGGAGCACAGTGACCTTGATCCAAGGGATTTCATGGATCAGGGGGGTCTGAGCTCGTTGAAAAGGCTGATTTGGGTTTGTTCCCAAAGCCCAGTGGTGGTGCTGGGGGTGGAACACATGGATTGGGGCTGATCTGGGCTCTCACAGAGCTGCACTTATCCCATGGAAGGGCAGAAATTGAGATTCCAGGTAGGATTAAGGCTCCCAACTGCTCCCAGTCCGTGTGGGTGCTGTCCCTGTGGGTGCTCCAGATCAGTGCAGCCATCTCAGCTCTGTTCCTGTTTTATGGTGATTTTACATGATGTTTCACCATTTTGGGTAAATCAGAAGCATATGCTGCTTAAACCCTTTACTTCCAGCTTGTGCTGGGCACTGTGGGATAGAATCATGGAATCACTGAGGTTGGAAAAGCCCTCTGAGATCATCAAGCCCAACCATTCCCCCAGCACTGCCCTGTTCATCCCTAAACCATATCCCCAGATGCCACATCCACATGTTTTTGGAACACCTCCAGGGATGGGGACTCCACCACCTGCATGGGCAGCCCCTTCCAGTACTTGACCACCCTTTCCATGAAGGAATTTTCCCTAATACCCAACCTCCTAAACCTCCCCTGGCACCGCTTGAGGCTGTTTCCTCTCCTCCTATCCCTTGTTCCTGGGAGCAGAGCCTGACCTCCCCCGGCTTCCCCCTCCTGTCAGGGAGTTGCAGAGAGCAAATATTTACAGTTGGACTCCATGATCCCAAGGGTGTTTTCCAACCTAAACCATTCTCTGTTTTGTCTGTGCTGGGGTTTGCCCTCATCACCAACACGAACCCTTTCAGTTCTCTCGACAACTAAAACCAGCTTCTAACCCCACCATTTCTAGTCATAAACTCACCCTGACAAAGCCAGACCGGGCAAAATACCTGGATCAGTCCCTTCCTGCCCTGAATTCCTGGCTGTGCCTTGTGTTTCCCCCAGACTACGAGCCCCAGAGCATCTGTGAGCACCTGCAGTACCTGTTTGCGCTGCTGCAGAACAGCAAACGGCGCTACATCGACCCCTCGGGCTTCGTCAAGGCCCTGGGGCTGGACACGGCCCAGCAGCAGGTGCGTGGGGGCCTGGGCATTCCAGGGACCTGGAATTGCCCTTGGATGTTGGTTTGGCC